GAGATTTTTGGCATCCATAAATGTTACCTGCATAGGTGCCTACCTAGGTAAGATGATGAATATGATGGATGTAGAAAGAAAAGCTGAACTCGGCAAGCTGCCTAAGGCTTATAAACCTTAGGCAGCTACAATTATGTAATATGCCTGCATTTCCGGAAAAACTCCCATCCGGTGTTAGTCAGCTGATTTCCCTTTTAATTTTGAAATGGTCATGAACTCACTATGACGCATACATAATTGACCATACCATTACCAATAATACCTCCACCCCAAGACAACCCAAACGGTCTCCCATGGTGACCGGTATTCATCTTGTATTAATACCATACCTGACACCGCCTAAAGAGTCATCCCACTATTACATCATACAGCCCCGCCATAAAAAAAGCTGAGAACGTCAAAGAAGAATATGAATCGGAGTGAAAAAAAAAGAGGAATTGACATCGTCGATAAGGAATTTAGAGACAATCAAGGAAATTGTAGACTTGACGACTCCACTAGGCTCATCTGGAACCTACTAAAGTCTTGATGAAGGACGTAATGAGGTGGTTGCTGGGCCATCGAAGCTCATGGAATCTCATGGATCCCTATGGAAGCCTCCCTCTAGAAGCTTCTGGAGTAATACACCGCTCACTATATAGGAGCTTTTCTCAGCCCTCGTCCTTTTCCTCTTCTTCTTTCCTTCTCTCATCAAAATACCCTTTTACTCTTTGTACACTACCTACCCCCTTGAGTCACGAATCTCTTTCTACCTTTTCTTTTCTTTTTTAACGATTACACACATTCACCATGGCTCCCGCCGTCGGTATTGATCTGGGAACCACCTACTCCTGTGTGGGTGTCTTCCGTGATGACCGCATTGAAATCATTGCCAACGACCAGGGTAACCGCACCACCCCTCGTTCGTCGGTTTCACCGACACCGAGCGTCTCATCGGTGATGCCGCCAAGAACCAAGTCGCCATGAACCCCCACAACACTGTCTTCGATGCCAAGCGTCTCATTGGTCGTCGTTTTAACGACGCTGAGGTTCAGGCCGATATGAAGCACTGGCCTTTCAAGATCGTCGAGAAGGCTACCAAGCCCGTCATCGAGGTTGAGTTCAAGGGTGAGGCCAAGCAGTTCACCCCCGAGGAGATCTCTGCTATGATCCTCGTCAAGATGCGTGAGACCGCTGAGGCTTACCTCGGTGGCACCGTCAACAACGCTGTCATTACTGTCCCTGCCTACTTCAACGACTCTCAGCGTCAGGCTACCAAGGACGCCGGTCTCATTGCCGGTCTCAACGTCCTCCGTATCATTAACGAGCCCACCGCCGCTGCCATTGCCTACGGTCTTGACAAGAAGGTCGAGGGTGAGCGCAACGTTCTGATCTTCGATCTTGGTGGTGGTACTTTCGATGTTTCTCTCCTGACCATCGAGGAGGGTATCTTCGAAGTTAAGGCCACTGCTGGTGACACCCACTTGGGTGGTGAGGACTTCGACAACCGTCTGGTCAACCACTTCGTCAACGAGTTCAAGCGCAAGCACAAGAAGGATCTGACCACCAACGCCCGTGCTCTCCGTCGTCTCCGCACCGCTTGCGAGCGTGCCAAGCGCACCCTCTCTTCCGCTGCCCAGACCTCTATCGAGATCGACTCTCTCTTCGAGGGTGTCGACTTCTACACCTCCATCACCCGTGCCCGTTTCGAAGAGCTCTGCCAGGACCTCTTCCGCGGCACCATGGAGCCCGTGGAGCGTGTCCTCCGTGACGCCAAGATTGACAAGTCCTCCGTCCACGAGATCGTCCTTGTCGGTGGTTCCACCCGTATCCCCAAGATCCAGAAGCTCGTCTCCGACTTCTTCAACAAGGACGCCAACAAGTCCATCAACCCCGATGAGGCCGTTGCCTACGGTGCCGCTGTCCAGGCCGCTATCCTGTCCGGTGACCAGACTTCCAAGTCCACCAACGAGATCCTGCTTCTCGATGTCGCTCCTCTTTCCCTCGGTATTGAGACCGCTGGTGGTGTCATGACTCCTTTGATTAAGCGCAACACCACTATCCCCACCAAGAAGTCCGAGACCTTCTCTACCTACTCCGACAACCAGCCCGGTGTCCTGATCCAGGTCTTCGAGGGTGAGCGTGCTCGCACCAAGGACAACAACCTCCTCGGAAAGTTCGAGCTTACTGGCATTCCCCCGCTCCCCGTGGTGTTCCCCAGGTTGAGGTCACCTTCGATGTTGATGCCAACGGTATCATGAACGTCTCCGCTCTCGAGAAGGGTACCGGAAAGTCCAACAAGATTACTATCACCAACGACAAGGGCCGTCTCTCCAAGGAGGAGATCGAGCGCATGCTTTCCGAGGCTGAGAAGTACAAGGAGGAGGATGAGGCTGAGGCTGCCCGTATTCAGGCCAAGAACGGCCTTGAGTCCTACGCCTACTCCCTCAAGAACACTCTTTCTGAGGGCAAGCTCCAGATCTCCGACGATGACAAGAAGAAGGTCGAGGACAAGATCAGCGAGGTCATCGGCTGGCTCGACAGCAACCAGACTGCTGAGAAGGACGAGTACGAGTCCCAGCAGAAGGAGCTTGAGGCTGTTGCCAACCCCATCATCTCCGCTGCCTACGGCGGCCAGGCTCCCCCTGGCGCTGGTGCCCCCGAGGGTGCCCGCTCCGCTGACGAGGTCGAGGAGAAGCCCGAGGAGCTTGACTAAACGTTTCGCTCTGAATGATTCTTTATTATTTGCCATTTGGCACTCGTTTCCTTTCACGTCTTGTTTTACGAACTTATGGGGTATCAAGGTTTCCTTTTGCGCATGATTGCATAGATACAAGGTTATCTCTTTTCTAGGGAAAAAAAATCCTAGTGAATCAAAATTCTTTAATTCAAAACACTCTTCTGTACATTGTAGATCACAGAGAATTCAAACAGCCCACGTTCGGACCTTCAGGTTCTCCACACTTGAACTGAAACTATACAAGAATTGCAACTTCCCGGTGCCTAAGTATAGAGTGACCATTCCATCATTCCATGCTATTAGACCAACTTTTGTAGATATGTACAAATAGAATACGGAGTACAAGACTCAACAATCAATATTAGTTCTCGGCGAGAACCAAACCAAAACTCCAAATCGATGATATATCACAAGGTTCTGTTTAAACATCCTGGAAATCTCCGTTCCACCACCGCTGTAACCGATGGCCGCTCGTTTGTACGATGCTTCCGTATGTGATTTCTGATGCGCGGTCGGGGTGCTGTTCGCGCTGGTCACGGCGGATGCGGGTGAGGGCAGCAGAGACACCCATAGCCAGGGCGAAGAGGGGATCCGCGATCCTATTCAAATTAACGTTAGAATGATGTGTCTCTTGTCGGAAATGAACTTTTAGAAAGTCTTTGTACCTGGAGATAAGGTAGACAGGCATGATGCTCTGCGCCTTGGAAAACAAAGATGGTGGTTTCGGCGATTCAAGCTGCTCGATTCAAGGTACATCCAAGAGCCGGAGAGAAGAAACACATCACGTGATGCGGACACTGCTTGCTGATCGGTTCATGGCCCCCCCATGTCTTCCACAACAACACATCTCCGCCATGCACTTCTCGCTCTCCTCTCTTGTCCTGCTAGGGATCAGCAGTCTGGTATCTGCCAGCTCTTTGACAATCACCATTCCTGCCTCTAGTCCCCTCCCAAACCCGCATATCCTCCCCGCAACCAGCCATGCCACTCTCACTAGTCTCCCCTCTGGTGGGAAAGATCACATCCTGTCCGCATCACTGACCCGCTCGGCAACGTTTGTGTTCCATGATCTTCCATCCTCCGGTCCGGATGCTCAGCCTGAGTCCTACTTGCTCGATATCCGCTCTGCTGGCGACTACGTCTTCGCCCCCTACCGCGTTGATGTTGCGGCTGATGGATCAATTCTCGGTATCTGGGAGACTTTCCGCGGGAACCCGTGGGATAACCGTGGAGCAGAGAAATACATCGTGGATGTTGCTGGAAAGAAGCAGATTGATGTGGTTGTCGAGGCCAAGGTCCTGGGACGGAAGGTCTTTTATGAGCAGCGCGCGCAATGTGAGCTTCCCTTCTCCCGCAGATGCAACCTGCAGTAAATATCTTCAGTTGTGTTAACGATGGATTGAAACGCAGTCTCTCCGTTGAGTCTCGTCAAGAACCCAATGGTGTTACTTGCAGTTGTCGCGCTGGGTCTCATGTTTGTCATGCCCAAGCTCATGGAGAACAGTATGTCTCTTCCCCTTCATACTAACCGATCTTTGTGCCTAACCCTGTTGCCTAGTGGATCCCGAGATGCGCGCCGAATTCGAGCAACATTCTCGTTCCTCACCCATCACCGGCGCCACTTCCAATGCCATGGCTGGTGGCGGGTTTGATCTGGCCAGCTGGATGGCGGGCACTGGTGGTCCTAATCCCACGGCCAACAACGCGGCCCAGGCTGGTTCAACCGGTAGAGATACCAGTGGCCCTGCCCGGAGGCGCGGATAGAAGATAATTACTCCCTTACATTGACCGTTCTCGACATGGAATCATGTCATTGTTTCGTGGCTGATTGTATGATACAAAATTAACTGAAGCTGCCCATGGCTCATAAAGTTAGAGCCAATTGCCGATAAATGGCTAGAGCTGTTTAGGCGAAACAAAAGCAATGCCCCCAAATCCCTCCCGATACCAGAGCGCCTGCAAGTCCCTCGAGCTGTACACGGGCCTGTCCCTTATCCCGAAGTCCATCCTAGTAACAAACCAATGAGGAAAAAGAGCAGAACAATCAAATAAATCGAAACGCAACCAAGCTCAGAAGTCACCTCCTCCGAAGTCACCTCCGAAGTCATCACCACCACCACCATAATCATCACCGCCGCCGTAATCACCGCCGTCATGATGGTCATCAATAGCATCAGCAATCAGCATACCGCCAAGCAAACCACCACCAACACCCAGAGCAGCAGCACCGGCAGTTCCCATACCCCCACCTTGTCTGCGAGGCGGTTGCTGTGGGTAATATCTACCTCCGTATCCCGGTCCGGGGGGGTCCATATCCAAACTGGGGGCCATGTTGCGGAGGATAGCCTCCACCACCGTAGTATGCACCAGGGGGAGGACCTTGCTGGGCATACGAGGCGTACTGTTGCTGTGGCCGAGACGGCCTGCTGCTTGAGCTCGAACTCTTGCCCAGCAGCTTGCTGAAAAATCCACCCTTGCTGCGCTTCTTTTCCTGCTCAGGCATCGGGCTATGTGACGCTGGGCCCGCCGCATATCCGCCTGGGCCGGTGGATTGCGGCCGCGAGGCATCGTTGTAGTAGTCTGATGATGCGCCACGATCTTCCGGTCCGGCTCCGGTTCCTCGTATGCCAGCCCGAGCATCTTCCTCAGCTTGGAGCTTGGCGGCAAGTCGTGCGTCTTCGTCGATTGTGTAAGGGCTGGCGTTGCCTGGGCTATTATTTGTTGAAGGGTTATACGGGTTGTTCGATCCCATGGGTTGCTTCTTGTCTCCCACACCGGCTATTGCTGCTGGGTCGCCAGGCCCTGAATTGCTGTACGATGGCGGGAGAGAATCGGTTGGAAGACTGGCGTCACCGCGCGGTGGGGGAGCTTCAGGACGGTCCCATTGCGATTTGCCCGTGGCAAGGTCCACATAATACCTGGCTGATTGTCAGTATTTTGGACTTCGTTAAGATGGACAAATACATACCAAGTCTGGTATCGATCGTCATACTGCGCTTTCCATCCCTCAGGTACCGAGGGCGGCGGAGGCCCGGAAGGCGGGGCGAACGACATGATGTGACAGGTATGATTAGATTGAATATGTTGCAAGACTGAAAACTTGAATTGTGGCAATATTCAATTAGTTAGGTTCAGAGGAAAGGAAACAAGAGTGTGTGTACGTGGGAGAGTGAGAATGAGAGTGAGAATGAGAGATCATGCTTCTTCCATGGATATATACTCGGGAAGTCAGCGGGGAGTTGTGGCCTCAGGCACCTGAACTGCGCCGCCTCGGGAGGCGATGATGTCATGGGATATATATAAAGGCCATTTATAGTAACATCATATATTAACATCACATATTTACGGAGTACGGAGTAGAGGCTACCACGTTCAAGATCGTAGCCTATCGGTCATATTACTCTCATGTACACAAAAACATTATTGATGACTCTGTAACTGAATTTACTGTCCAAGTAAAAAGGAAACCCCAAATGAGAACTCCACACTTCAATGCTATGCTAAACACATCAATATCAAGAAATGTTGTCATATTAGACTATCTCTTTTTGGATGTTGGGGTCAATTTCTCCACTGGCCGGGAACCAATTATCATCCTCAAGAGCCTCTAGGAGCTCCTCAAGGTCAAACCGATGTCGGTTTGACGTCTCCGTCTCCGTGTCTGAGTCCAGGAGAGTCAGGTCAACATCTTCTGTGTTGCTGATTATCTGACGCGCCACCTTGCGAGCCTTCTTTTTGCTCCGAGATTTCTTTTTCGCTTTGTCTTCTTCTCCGGTCTTCTCCGTTCTCTCTTTTCTCCCCACGGTCCTCTTTCTCATCTCGATTCTCATCTCGGTTCTCATCTCGGTTCTCATCTCGGTTCTCATCTCGGTTCTCATCTTGGTTTTCTTCCCTTTTCACTTCCATTTTCTCGGCCTTTTTCTTCCTCTTCTTCGCCGGCCGGGATGAGCCAAGAGAAGACAAAGATATAGGGCCCTGGAAGAGGAACGTAGAAGGATCATTCTGCTCCTGGCGCTTTCTCTTGTGGAATCCTCGATTTCGTATTTCAGCGAGTTGTATTTGTCTTTCCACTTCTCGTCGCTGGTTCAGATCAAGGTCGGCACGATCTTCTGGTGGCGGTCCATCCAACTGTTGGCTCTGGTATTTCTTGAGCAAAGGAAAATCTCTAATTCGATCAGGAGAAATATCTCGCTTGACGTCCCTAGCCCACAAGGCAAAAGGCCCCGCGTAAGAGGGCCCTTGACCCATACCAAATGTTTCGTGCTTAACAACCTGGCCGGAGGAGACAAGCTGGTTTCCTGCAAGGACGCCACTATCGCTAGGCCTTTCGGGCTCTGGGGCGTGTTCGAACTCGAAAGTTGTTATGTTAGGGTCCGAACAAGGCCCCGACGATAGCACGTGCACGCCTCCTCCAGAACCCCCGACAAGGAGATGAGACTGATCTTCGGTGAAGGATGCGCACATGATCTCCTCATCAAAAGATGCGACATCCTCAAGAAGGACATCTTCAGGTGACCGGCGAATATCCCATCGTTTGAGAACACCATCGGACGCACCGGTGTAGAATTGGTCCATGGACGAACCCCACAGAGCTACCCTGACGCCCACGTCTGCCGTCTCCCGGGTCCTTTGGTGATCAATTGGGTTAAGCGGGGCCTTATGGCGAAGTTCGTGAAGAATTGCATCACCCTTGCGACTATCCCAAACATAGGTTTTGCCATCCGTGCAACTAGCGGTGACATATGTGCCGTTCGAATCCATTGGACAGAAACTGACCTCATTGACATCTAACGCCGGACAGGAGAATTCCATCACAGACGGCACGCGTTTTTGGAGGTCGCAATTAAGGCTGAACACTCTCACAATTGATTTCGTGGTAACGCCGATACCTTTAATCCGTGCATTGTGAGGATCTTCAGGACTGGCCGTTGCAAAAATGGGCAGCGAAGAGTGCCACTTAATGTCAAAGACATTATGTGAAGTAGAAGCCATCCTGATGGTTTCAAATGCAGATTCACGGGCTCGCCACAAGCCTAGGTGACCTTTGTATATTGGATCCTCCCCTGGTTCGGCCAGACCTCCAGCTAAGAATTCCAGAGTCGACGGAGTATGTCCCCAGGCCAGGGCCGTTGACGAGAACTCAAAATTGGACTTATACCGTGCATCGCGGTCGAGGGGAAGGAGAGTCGATGTCAAGTTTTCCGGATCCCGTGTGTCCCAGACCAAGATTGATTCTGTCCCTGTGGCCAATATATCCGGATTGAATTTCGAGACTGACATCACTGCCACTCGGGACTCATGCTGCAAGGTATGAGTGCAGGATACGTTGCGGATTGATTCCACGTCCCAGATCTTGACGGTTTTGTCAAAACTGGCGGTGTAGAGTCGGTTACCAATCCACTGCATATTATTGACGCTCATGAAAAGCCGTGGGTCATCAACTGGTGACGTTGTTGGACGTGGAATCCAATGGTCCGGAATTTCCTTTAGACGATTGCGCTGAAGATCACCTAAAAGAAGATTATTGGCCTTGTTATACTGCATATTATGTTCGTCTGATTTAGCTGCGGCGCCTGCCGCAAACTGAGTGCCATCAGGCGACCAAGCCAGAACAAGCAGATCGCCCGAAGCACCTTGCCATGATTTCCAAGGTCTTAGATCCGAGACCACATCAGTGACGATGGGGCGATGATTTCCGCCTCCAAGCTCGCGGCTGTACAGCAGCTTTTGGACATTTGCACGACGTGGTGTGACACGACGCGGCTCCTGTGGAGAAGATGACCCGACTGTGTCCGGAATAGCTTCGACAATTGTGCCTGGCTCTTCCGATTCCAGGGGATCATTCACCCAAGGATTGGCGTAATAGTTGGTTGGTTGGACTCTATTTCGACTAGAACGACGAATGGAACTTTGCTCGGCGGTCGGTGATATCGACCGCGAATGAGGGGATCTGGATGCAGATGGCATGGCATCCGGTGGGTAAGAGAAGTGCTGTTTTGACTTAGGAGCAACTACCTCATCGTTCCTACTGGCATTTGAGATTGCCACGCTCTCCCTAAGAGTCCGTTGGCGCTCGCGATGATTCGGAGAGATGCTATGTGAGGAAGAAGTGGAGACAGAAACTGATTGGGGAGACGGACGTCGGGAAGGAGCGCGGGAGGAAGCGCGCGAAGAAGCGCGACGGGAAACCCGGATTGGGCTGCCAGAGGAAGGAGCGACAGAGTGGGAAGGAGAAGGTCGAGTGACATGGCTGCCACTTGATGAACGAGTGAGTCGAGGTGATATTTGGCGAGGTGAGGCTTCACTGGGCTGGACTTCAGGCTGTGGAGTCTGCCAGGCATCTCGGACCTCGTCTCTTGTACGGCTAGAGGTTGCCGGAGTTGACAAATTCTCTGATAGAGAAGAGACCCTAGAATACTGCAGTAGCAAACGCAGAGTCTCACGTTGAATATCTGGGTTTTCCGGAATGCTTCGGGCTGACAGACCAGGGAATGCAGGGACTATACCCCGGCCATTAATACTGGAAAAGCCGTGAGACATTTTAGTGCCACAGCTGATGTTCTGAGCTAGGCAAAAAGAAAAAGAGAAAGGTCAGATATGAAGAGCATAAGGAAGAAGAGCTCTCTTACCTGTGTAACTTGGTTGATATTGATTTGGGCTCGCTCACGTCTGGTGTCGGACGATAGCAAAGTGAGAAAGACATAACATCGGCCCCCCAGCTCTCACTTTGTTCACACTGAACCTGAGGTTTCCGTTATTGCCTTTCCAACATACCGATCCCTTAAATCTGTTTCTGTTCCTTTCTGTAACAGAAGCAAGCCTATGTCTTTGGATGGTCTTGCTAGGAAAGAAATTATCCCGGTATAGCCTTGGTAGCCCTAATAGAGCTGACCTAGGCAATACAGCCGTTCAGGATATTGTCTCTAGAGGGGTATAAACGACAATAGCTGTAATGAGCGCAGATCTTCCAAGCCAGGGGTATGAGAGTCACAAAGGCGATGCGACAATGCGACAATTCGACAATTCGACAATTCGAAGGTGGAGAGGCACGCTTGGATCTGTCAGGCATTAGGAGTTATCCCACCTAAAAGGACCGAGAGAAGCATACCTGGGAGAAATACGTGTAGAAGGTAAAAGAGGTATTGAGAAACAGAGGAGCAGGGGAATGGCAAACTGAACCCAGACTTTGCAGAAGACACAGGAAGTGTGGAGAAATGGAGAAATGGAGCAGAATCGCGTCAAGAACATCAAGAACGCGATAACGCGGGTATGAGCGACGATGGGCGGTGAACCCAACGTTAAGGCGGTCAGGTCTGAAGTATGGTAACTTTTTTTATGATTAAAAAGGAGTATAAGAAATAAAGAAATAAGAATGAATTCCAAATAGCTAAACTACATATGTACATATTTGCAGAACACCTGGGTATCGCTTTAAAAGAGCTCTCGGGGCTCCCAGGAGCTCCCCAAGAACTTCGAACTTTCACCCAAGTCAATTCTCTATAGTGGGCAAGTGAAAGTCAGCCCGTACGCTCTCATTCCGAGCACTTGAACAAAATTGAGCATCCGAGCCCTGTCTCTCCAAGGAACGTGACCATTGGAGTTATCACATAGGTCTAGTAGACTGGGGATCATTTCCTGTCTATTTAGCGATGCGGCCCTTTCTACGGGCAGACGCCATCATATCATATAGCACATCTTTAAACGCAAAAAGGAATGCAGCAGTGATGGCGCTCTGAGTGACCTTGGGCCCAATACCTTATTGAAGATATGTCAGTGAATAGAAACCCGGTGTAACTTCCAAATATTTTCTTACCCTTGTAGAGTCCCTTCCAGCCTTCTTCCTGGATGATCCTCTTCAGGCTTCCGTTCAAGCTCTCCTTGGGGCCCTCCTTGCTGGCTACATGCGCTCGGCTCTTGATGGTGATATATGGGTAGGTGAGGCTGGTGGCCATAATCTTTCCCAGTGCGCCCAAATAAAACGCATCCTTCGGCGTCATACGCCGGCGGCGCTCTACCACGTTTTTCAATTGCTCGAAAATGGTGTATTGCAGAATTGGGTTGATCACCAGGACCAATGCTGGGAGGACGCCGGCAAATAGGGCCTTGGGGCCCTCCTGCCGGAGCAGGTCCATTAGGGTGCTGAGGGTGGATGCCTTTGGTTTCTTGGCACCAGGCAGTGTTTCCTCCGCCTCAGACTTACGAGCAGTCATGCGAGTGTTGATGACCCAGATTGGGTTGGTAATCAGCACCGTGGCGCTCCCTGCAATGGCACCAGCAATCATAGACTCCACCGTCGTGAGCTTTTTCGAGGCTCGGCCTCCCTGGATGGCGGCCTTCTCAAAGACCGCACGCGTGAATTCATACCAATAATAGTACACAAAATTGGTAACGCTGATTCCAAACAGCGCTGATTCCAAGCCGGAATATAGTCCCGAGATACCTTCTCTCTGTACAATGCGGCGTACGGCATCAAGGGTGGTTGAGTGTGCACGCTTCGACTCGACTTGTGCTCTTGTCGACAAAGTGATCAGAGGGTATCTGGAGTGGGTATGGGGTTAGCGGCAGCGATGGGGAAAACGCGGGGAAGCATACGTCAAAACCATCGAGAGAACCCCTCCTCCTGCGCCTGCCAGCGCGTGTGCGATGTTATCGCTCTGCTGAACAGCAGTAGATGCTGCCTTGCTCTGTTCGGCTCCTGGTTGAGACATGATGGGAAGAGCTGGATTATTGAACTGTGTTCAGGTGTAAGGTATAACCTGTAAAGGGCGGAAGAAGATGAAATATTTCAGGAGGTAAAGAACGTTTAAAACATTAAGATCATCGAGATGATTTGTCGGCTTGAAGGGGGGATGGGATGTTCATGACGTTTTGCCGAAAGTGCTGTGTGCCTCGGCAACTCCACTGCATTCCGAAACGCCCATAGCGCAGATACACCTTGTACAAGATTATCTGATGGATTTATGGAGGTCCTCGGTACCTGCATCCTAATAAAGTGACCTTAAAATGTGTCACGTTCGAATAACCCGAAATTGGTAATATCCCGAACTACCTAGGTATCCTCGTTATATGTGTCAACGATCTATTATATTGGAGTCGGCGCCTGTGACTTGCATGTGATTATATATCTTCCTAGACGTCCTGATAGGGGATCCGAATATGTATACGTTTATATTTGACTCGGGGAATCTACATAGTACAACGAACTGGTTTACCGAAAAAGAAGATACAAAGTAGCCCCGTGTGAGGCAGTATGCCTCGAGGCGTCGCAAGGTTCTCGCTATTAGTCCATTCACAAGTGAGAAATCCAACCTACAGAAAAAAAAAAGCGAAAATAGGAAATAGAACATAGAAAATAGAAAGGTGAAGGGGAAAAGAAAGACACAGAAAGAATGATGGGCCAAGGTAATAGAGCAGAGACGTGGCCAGGAAATCATGAGAACGCAGAAACCGGCGGTAATCGCATAAGCAAACGCAGTAATGTGGATAGAACGCAGGCCGTCTAAAGCGAATCCAGGGCAGGAAAGAACCCCCAACGGCATCATCATAACGATTGCCAGCTCCGTAGAGAAGCTCCTCCTTGCCCGTCAGGAACATGTCGAGTTTCCAAAGGCCTGACAAGCCTGACTTCTGCCGATTAGATACCACGCCGCTTGATACCCCTCAATTCATGATGTAACATTGCGCCAAAGTGAAGCACCGTACCACACAAAGAGAACATCGTGTCGTTTAGCAGCAGCCACCTGCCGATCCAGACTGGACACCTTGGCCCTGGCCAACCTGCACAGTCGGCTTGTTGTTGACAGTGGCCGTTCCCATGCGTTCCTTGATCTGTCGTGCCATTGTCAAGAATGCCTGCTCGACATTGGACGCGTTCTTGGCCGAAGTTTCGAGGAAAGGAATTCCGAGGCTGTCGGCGAACTCCTGTAAAAGTGCAATCGAGACATGTTAATAATCTGCCCCAGCGGTGCTGGTGTTCGCCTTTAAACATACCTTGGCAACGGTGTATTCCACGACCTTCTTGTCCTCCATATCGCTCTTGTTTCCAACGAGCAACTTGTTAACACCCTCGGTAGCATATCGGTCTATCTCCTGGAGCCACTGCTTCACGTTGTTGAAGGAATCCATGTCGGTGACATCGTAAACCACGCAAATTCCATGAGCGCCCCTGTAGTAAGAGGATGTAATGGTACGGAATCGCTCCTGGCCGGCGGTGTCCCACTGCATGTATTATTAGCTTTGCTTCAAATAGTTGGTGTTCAATATAGCCGTACGATCTGAAGTTTCACCGTCTTGCCATCGAGCTCGATTGTGCGGATTTTCTATGATGACCTGTCAGCACCGCTATTCTATTGCGGCTAAATACTGCAGCTTCCGAGACGTACGAAGTCAACGCCGATTGTCGAGATGTAGCTTTCGGTGTAGGTATCATCGGCAAAACGAAGCAGCAAGCAAGACTTTCCAACACCGGAGTCACCGATGAGGAGCAGTTTGAAAAGGTAGTCGTATCTATCTCGATGGTTAGGCAACGGAGATCGGCAAGTTTGGGGATTTGGGTCGCGTGACGGTCAAACCAGCGATGCGACGGTACTCTAGAAATCAACATCATATCAGTCAAATTCAACACACAGGTAGACTCATATAGTGACCAAATCAGGGCGCATAGAATGGCATTTGGGGGGGGGGGTGGGTGGGAAATGGGGAAGGCTTACCACTCGGGATTCATGATGAGATTTGGGAGGTGGAGAAGGTGAAATAAAAACTGAAGAGAACACACAAGTCCAGAGGAATATAAAGGAAAAAAAAAAACAAGTTGATGGAGTCGAAGTTCCTAGGAAGTCGGGGGGAGGGGACAATGATGGAACAGTCGCCTGAAATGATAGGAGGTGCAGGGAGGCAGACGCACCTGATGCGCAGCTTTGTTTCACCTCACAACCACTTCTCGGGGTTTCTGTATTTTCCTTATTTTCCCCTTATTTTTCGTTATGTTTTGTATATTTTCTATCTATACATACCTCTTCTTAATTTTTAATCGTCTTTTTTACGAAATATATCTATCACAAGGATCATTCTATACTTGATTCCACTTCCCATCTCCGAGATCACCTGCTCAACTGATGTTATCCCGTGCATAAACTCAGCCTCGTGGATACTGGACCAATGACATTTTACATTGTATCCAAATCAAAGAACTCAGTTGAACAAATATATTGTTGAAAAAAGGGAAAAAAGAAAAACATAAAGCCACATGTTCGTAGATGCGCATTTATGCGTAACCGTGTGCCTGCAGCCATTCAAGAACCAGAGCCTCCTCACGCTCCTTATAGGATGCATTAGTTCGAATGTTGTCCGAGACAATCACGAGTGCACGGTCATAAGCGCCCGTTTCCTTGTCCTTGAAAAAGGCCGCAATCTCGTCACTGATCTGGTGATCGGCAAACTTTGATAGACCCATACGGACAAAGCGCTCAAACACAACGTTGTTAAATGACAATCGTGTTTCAACAGCAGTCCAGTTGTCCTTGATGTACTGCCATAGCAAATGCCGGACCTTCGAGTTGGCGGCCAG